ATCGATGGCCGCCATAGTCAAAAGTGTTTACGAGAGCCCTTCTTTAGGGAGACAACTTTTGGAAATGCAGAAAAATATTTCAACGCCAGCGTGAAACACAAGTAGAAATTAGACACGGGAAATGTGAGATCTTCCTAAGTGATAGGGAAAGTAAAGTAACAACGCTAGCATCTCACTGTCAATTCATCCAATCTCAAACTACCACCTAAGTAACTTCATCCGATCTCAAACTATCACCTAAGTAATGACATGGTTAAAAAAAAAAAAAATAGTATGCACCCTACGGTCATCGGGCAGGAGTATGATTCGTCGGCCCAATTTGATCTCTGTCGCATGAGACCGTTGTAGGCTCATCTCCTCTTTTTCTCTTTCTTGGGTCATGTCAACAACACGAAGGCCTGTAGCAGAATGCATTAATTTCAGTAGACGTGATTCAATTTTTCTTTCTTTCGGATGCTTGACACAGTGGGTCATTATTGTTTGTGATAGATTTCTGTGCACCTGTTAATTGTCGACATCAATGAACTCTGAGATAACGTAAGAGGCACCATAAGCCACAACAATTAAATGGGGCGGCTAAATTATTTCTCACTTCTCAACTAACTTAATCATCAGGAGTCGAGGTGGAGAACATTCTCTGACACTAACCGCTATTACAATGACCTCGGCGAGGCTTAAGGGCATTTCAAAACGACTCCGAAACCCACTTCTAACGGATAAACAATGCTTCAGGATCATGCTAACTAGACCTGCTTCCTGTCCCGATCTCCTCATGTGACCCACCCCGTGAGCTCCTTAGATGAGCTTAAGTTTTTAGGACCAAACCAAGTCGTGTTAACCCCCCTCTCCGATCAATTACATAAACGACCCTCTCCCCGATCAACAACATAAACGATAACAAGAATCGAATCGAACCAAGCCATGCTGACCCCCACCCCGATCAGTAGCATAGGTAACAACACTAAGGTTCTTCAAAGTCTCATAAATTGGATTGACGATGAAATACTTGTGAAGACGTAGTGTATACGTCCCCGAAAGCTATAAGAACTTTGCTAGAACGGCGTGTCAGTTCTCAAGTTTCGTTTGTTTTTGAAATGAAAGGTAATTAAAATTAGATTTCCTGAAGATCCGAGGTTGAAGAGTAGGAACAGAAAATAAAATTTTGGGGTGTGTAAAAGGCAGTAAATAGTGGAAGGTTGTGAAGAGTATGAACGGAGAAAAAAACTCTGATGAATGAAAGAATGATTGGACAATCATCGTTGGAGGATTGGGAATGAATGAGCACGAGGCTCAATCACTCTGCGATTTAGTTGGATCCATGGGCTCTGTCCATGGATGATGGGTTCATAACCACGCGTGTGAGTTTGGGCCACGGAAGCTGTTCTCTAAATGCGATCAGGCGTGCTCGGTGCACATCGAGCGAGCCCTGAGTTTGGATCGAGTTAATTGCTCATGCTGGGCTGCATTGGTGGGCAGGCTCTCGACAAGTTGAGCACGTCGGGAAGCAAAAGAGAGAGACAGAGACTGTGCCTGTGTGTTGTGCCAGGAGATGCTACTGCATGCTTTGAGAAGTCAGATCTCAGTAGTACGTACCCGATCGACGTCAGTGAGGGATGCACGCATGTCAAGGCCCAAAATTAAGAGTTTTTTAATAAATAAAAAACAAAATTATTCCTTTTCATTTTCACATAAAGTTTTTTTTTTATTTCTACATAATATTTATTTTAAAATATATCCCTTGTACTCATGTTTTTGTCTTCAATCATCAATCATTGTTGTCATCGTATCATCCTTTATTTTCTTGTCACGATCGTTGTCGAGTTGAGAGAGGTGAGCAGCATAAACATATATTGGGAAGGAGGGATTAGACGGTGGATCATAACAGGGAGGAGAGACAGACAGAGAGAGAGAGAGAAAACTCCACCGTGACCATCTTTTTCTCTCGATCTCAATCTCCTCCAATAAAGGTCGATGATCGTGGTTGACGTGAAAAACTTTGCCTGAGAAAAGCTAAACTCTTCTTTTCTCTCTTTGCTTTTCTTGTTTCCTTTTGGGACGTTCGCCATCGCATCAGTTCCTGATAGCATCATCACATCACCCGAGCACTGCTGTTGTCATGATGCATGCATCTCATTTCTCAGTGTCCAACACCACGGTGCAGGTCCCAGTTTCTTAGGTCATCCTCCATCCTTATCTTATCCTTCGAGGCAATAAATATATACATAGCACACGCAATCGCTATCACGCCACGCCGTGCTGTATTTGCCTTACGTGAAGGTCGATTATATTACCGAAAGAAAAAATGCTGTAAAGTTGTTTGACTACAATGAGTAAGACTAAAAGTGATGATGGGAGGCCGACATGAACGCGAAAATGGAGTCACGTCCGCAACCATGTTGACGACCATTCACGTTCTCGGTGAGTTGTACTCAACTGCAAGCAGCACTAAAAAGAAGATAAGGATTTCCTCCTCCCAACACATGCGTGTGTATCTAAATCTTGGGATTCTCCACTTCATCATCGAGATGGCATCAGACTGCAACAACATTGCTACAAGAACGAGGATAATGAACACGTCGTTCTCAAAGCTGAGAGATAAAGAAAGCATTTCAGCGATACCGCGCATCATCTGGATGATTTGATTCCGTCAACGGAAGCTTTCGAGCATCACCATAGGATAGTTATTATTGTAGTCAGACGAGAATTTTTCCTTGATGATGTGACAGAGAATCTATCTCATCCTCTTTACTTTGGTACTTTCCATGCATTAAGAATTGGTTCCTCTTGTTGATGTGCACCCATGTCTTAGTTCGGCAAACCACAAAAGATGGAAACTTGGCAGGAATATTAGTAGATAGCATGTAGAATGGGACGGCTGGTATGCGTAAAGATTGGTGCATTGCAATAAAAGACGAAGCTTGTTATGGGTTTTTTCTTTTTCTATTGGCAATCCCCTACAAAAATATAATAAGACATAATTTCACTATTTATAACCCTTCAATTACTAAAAATATAATGAGTATTATCTATTGTTCCCAAAAGATGATCGTCAAGCCGAAAAATGCTAGTATTATCTTAGTTCTATTTAAAGACAAAATGTATTCATATCTCAACCATACATTATGTCAATAGTCTATTTGGTAAAACTCCTCCGATGATAAAGTCAGTATATATTCATTCACTTTAAATATAAAATAAATAAGAAGATTGTCTTATAACATTATTTTTATAGCCGCTTGAGTAATGAAATAATATATACTTTAAATGCTCCACTGATACCATAGATCTAACATAATTTTCATCTTTTCACAGTGACATGTCCAATGAATACCGACTGAATTCCGCGAATCGAGTGACATGTGTTCCGGTTGACCTACATGAAATTGCAGAAGAATTTAGGTGTCGAAGAATAAGGCCTTGCACAGTGTCTAGTGGAACTCATTCTCCTATGGATGGATCAAAATGCTACCGTGTACATTTACAGTAAGATAAACTTTAATTGCCATCTCGACCTTGAGAAAAACAAAGTCATGGTATTAAGGATTTTTGTCAGTATTTGGCGTTTGTTCGCTGTGCTCAAACGTGCGACAACATGAAGCTGACAGAACAACCAGCCGACATCGCAGTCCGACAGTTTGACTTCTTGTTGTTGACGTCCATTAGCAAATATCTATTTAAGCCGTAATAAAAGGATTAAAAAACTATAAAAAAATTATTAACATCTTATCAATTCGATGTGATACAGACATATATGCATAAAATAAAAAACATCATAGTGATATAAAGTGACCTTAAAGTGGCTTTGAGGTATCAAGTTTTAAGGCATCATCTACATTAAGACCGATGATAGAAAAGATTTTTCGATTCGATCATTCTCATGATCAAGTTAATAATATAATGTCTTCAAATATGAGTTTAATTAGTTCTTTCTCCTTATTTAGGATATATTTTTAGAGAAGAATAAAACTTATGATTATCTTTCTTATTATAAAACAAGAGAAGTAAATTTATGTTTCTTTATTATAATTCTCTATGCACATAAGATCGATGAAGGATACATGGGTTATGCGTGACAATCACATATCAACTATTGGTAAATTCTCTATCACAAGTCCAGACTTATCCTTTGGTATGATTACTGTTTGTTCTTACGATATGAGAATGACAAACACTGGAGACCGATGGATCTAATCAAGTGAGGAGAATAAATTTAATGGACGAGCTGATCTTTATGGATGTATATCGTTGTCTTAATGACATTGGTCATCAGAATCAATATCAATGTTATCATTCATCTATTATTTTCATGTAAATCAGTCAACAAATAAGAGTATAAAAATAATATATATTTTTTTTAAAAAAAGACTATATTGATTTAAAGATAAAAAACAAGAAAATGGATTGGGCAATGATTAAAAATTTATATCTTAATAAATTAAAAAAAATACTATATCATTATCTTAATATAAAAATAAAAAATTATTGTCATAGATCAAGATTTGTCAATGATTAACAAAATCACTAAACTTAGGAGTATGAGTGATACTAATAACTCTAAAAATATAAGACAACAAATAAAAAAAAAACTAAAAATTAAGTGCACCTTATGAGAAAATCCCGAAAGAAAATTTTTTTAGGCCAAATCAAAGAGAAACCTTTTTTTTAAGTAAAAAGAACTCTACTTAATTGTTGGTATTGAAGTCTTCGTTTGGATGAAAATTGGCCGAAGTATAATATATTCAACAAACAGAAACGTTACAAACTAATTACATGTTATTTCGAATTGTGAATTATTATTCCGCCTAATTCTTTATAAGATTCAAATTAAGCGTCATGTGTTCGTTCAACAGTGTGATACAACTGGGAAGCTGCCACTGTTCCGCTTCAGTCAGAGAATTAGTGGCGAGTGGTCCCCCAAAGCTGTCGTCCTTTGGAGGTCACGTTCATCCGACATCATCCGGTGCTCGAGCATTTATATATACACCCCTCCATGCCCCATCTCTCCCATCTATTTCTCTACCTCGTGTTGTAGCATTGGTTGCGAGGAGCCAGGAACAATGGGGCGCAGCTCTCAATCTCCCCTTGTCTTCCTTCTCCTTGTCATCATCCTCTCCACCCCAACGGCAACTGTTGCTTCTCGTTTCCTGCGGCCACCAAGACAAGGTTAAAAAGCCTGCTCACCACCCACCTGTGATCGCAACTGATGAAGCTCTCTTAATTTGTTCTTTTCCTTCGGGTTCTCACGTTCTCTCTTGCTTTGGCGAACAGAACTTGTGAAGCTGAACGGGCTTCAAGGATTGGAGCATGCAGAAGGACCGGAGGAAGAGGATGCTTGGAATGTTAGTGCAGTTTTTGTTTTCTTTGGCTTTGTTGTCATCTAGATGCACGCTAATCTGATAGGGTTTTCATCTTTTAGTTTTATTCATCCTCTTCTCTTGTTCAGCTCATGGGAACGGAAGAGTGTCAGGACGGAAACGAAGAATGCCTAAAGAGGAGAGAGATGACTGAGGCCCATTTGGACTATATTTACACGCAACACCACACTAAGCCGTAGAAAAGGAAAGCAAGAAGGAAGCAAAGCAAGGATGCGTTGTGATGGGCTCTCAGAAAAGTTGCTTAAGGTATCTAGGGTTCTTGAGATCCCATCTCTCACCTAACGAGTCATATATACCCGAGGGGGAATGATAGAAGCATCAGGTGGCATTTAGTGTTATAGAAAGATGTTTTGTATGGATCTGTTGCCATGTAATGTCTGTGACGGCATGACCTGAGCTAACACCATTTTAATATATAAATATAAATAGTGGCATCTAATGTCATATGCTTTCCGTGTTTCGTTTTCCTTCCCTGATTCAGTTTCCTGTGTGCCAAAATTTTGAGATCTTAATACACAAGCATACACAGTCAAACGCATGCAGATATATGAATTTAAGATTAATTATGACATGTATGAGTGACAATCCTACATACGTAATCTGTTTCATAGGAATCTTTATCGTAAAAGAAGTGGCTTTTGATGGATACCACGTAAGAGAACACCAAGAAAACTTGTGTCAGAATCTTATCGTAAAAGAAGTGGGCAACTCGCGTAGATAGTGAATCACAGGTGGGAATTTGAAGAGATAATCTTGGGGCCCCACCTTTGATTCAAAGGAGTAGCAACCTCTCGTAGCTTCAGCTGAAGCATGGAATATGGTTGAGAAACTACATATCGCACAGTGCTGGCATCTGCCTGAGATCCATACGCCATTAACAAGTCCTAAGTTTGCTTCACCGTCAGCGAGGCATAAGAGAGCCGAGATCCTGCAGTAGCTCTTTTGGCTTTCCCGCTTCTCAACACAGAAGTGGGCCGCAACTTTTCATGGGAAAAGTGGATGCTCCATTATCTTTCGTCAAAGGTGGTGCAGTGCAGCTAGAAGTGGCAGTGGGAGTGGCGTAGGGAAGTCGCCCAGTTCGTAGTAGGGCAGGTAAAAGACGAGGAACAGGACGTCGAACCTCTCCAGTTGTCCCTTTGCCTGACAAAGCTTCACCGTCTGCGTCGGAATCGTGCATCGATACTAGACCCACCGATCACGGGTGAGGCTCACCAATCTCGATCGAGGGTGGGTGGTGAGGTCCACCATCATTGTGAGTGGAAGATCTACACGGCGATCTTGGCAAAGGAGCTTGGGTGAATCAACCTGTTGCAGGCTCTGATAACTTACAGGGTTCCATTTGACTGCCACCCCAAAACACATACCACCTTTTGTTTAGGCTTTGCTTCAGACTTGGGTCATCACTGATATGATAGTGTCGATGAGCTGAGAGATACGTGATGCGTGTAGATCTACAAAAAACCTTCAGGAATTTGATTGAACGAGATTGTGATGCCCTAAAAGTAATCTCACACGGATTGTCGTCTACGGCTTTAGATAGCTCGAGAAATTAGTATCCAACTCTAAAGAACACTTTACAGGTTCTTCTTTTAGAGGGAGCACGACCAGTAAAGGATAATATGGCAGGTCATGATGCTCCTCTGCTCCCCAAGCTAACCACGTTTGGGCCACTTACATGCAGTAAAGGTTGTGGGAAGGCCTGCCTCAGGTCTCCTCTTCTCCTGAACCAGAAATGTATTCGGATCATCATCACTGGCAAGCAGAGAAAGCAAAACCTAACATGGGAATAATGATAGCACCGGTGATGGGTCGCACCTCTACTACAGCTGTAACCAGGCATCTCATCATGGTCCCAATGAGCTCAAAGTCCTCTCAAGGGCTCTTCAGATTCTTGATGTCAAACAAACGATCATCATGTGCTGTGTGCCAGCCATGAGACACGAGATTGATACGAGCTTCGTACAGCGTCACCTAGTCGTCGATTAACTCCATCACAAGGAGAAGGGAAAAAGAAGGAAAAGGAAATTCCTGGAGGTTATTATGGCCTTCGGTTCTGGCATAAAAGCCACCACCAGTTTCTCATCAATACTGGAAGGACCGTAGGGCAGAACACAATACGAAGAAAGTAAATGGGGGAGACTCGGGTGGTTTGAAGACAAACGTTCGACCTACCCGATGTCAACCCTCCGAAAACCAGTGCTGAATTCCTAACCAGCGTGAAGTCCGGCAAGAGAAGGACAGGCCAACCACCACGAGCAAAACAAGAAAAAGTAATTTCCATTAAAATAAGAACAAGCTATCTGTCTCTACCCATATTTATGACGTGCTCTCGGTACAGGTTTTACGAAGGATTAACACCACTGTCAGACAGAGACGACACTCACTAACAACATAATGAATATTGACATTGAATAAAGGGCAAGTGAACAAAGCATTATATCCACGGAACTGACTGATAAATTCTGATCGATGAATGCCACATTCAGTTCTATGAACAGAAACGTATTACCAAAGGGAGATGATTACGTTGCGTTAAAAACCCAGTCCATATTAATTTGGATCAATCCACACAGCCTAATCCGACCCTAAATAAAATGTGGCAGCCCAATTTTACTTTGGAGCAGGCTGGATGATATAGCAGAAATCGGGTTCTAGACATTCCGCAACTGAAGAGAAAATAATCGAGCGATCATGCTTTACTTGCTGATCCGATATGTGTTCTTCCATCATCAAGGGGGCGAAGCTGGAGAGAAGTTATTGTGGTTGAGGTGCCGGGTCAGAAAGGGGCCCACGAGATGGGTGGGGGCCGGCCTACAGCACCTCTAGCGGGAAGGGGGTGCTCGTCGCCGTAATCGCCACGCAGAAGGAAGCGGCACATGAAGCTGCGGCGGAATCAAGGTCAGGAGAGAAGTAAATAGCGGCCATCAATTTTCGAAGGAAGCTAAATTAATTTCATGTTCGTAAAAGAATCGATATATGCACCATCATTAATTGTTAAGAATCCAGAGTGAACCTTTGTTCTTACCAACCTGTCACAAGCTTGGTGTCAGAACTATGTAGAAGCTACATTGGGTGTGTGCTTGACAAAAGCTCCTATGATGCTTAAGCTAATTGTTTGGAAGATAGTCTATTTAGGATTCGGAAAGTTCAAAGTGTTCAAGGTGAGTTTGAGACTTTTTATTTTATAAAGGGCTTTGATAATCATCGTGATTAAATGAGAAGTTAATTTACGAAAATAGTTTCATGAGATTATTGGACTTATTTGGATGGAATGAATCATTTGAACCATTAAAGAGTTACAGTTGGTATCGTTGTTCTCATCGTTAAACGATCCACTTGGATTAGGTTTAAATATTTTTACTTATATAATTTCAAGTCTCATCAAATTAATGAGTCTATTATCCGATTAGATTATATCGCGATAAAATAATATTAAAGAAACGTGTCATGTAAGTAAATATGTCCCCCCATGAGCTTAATGCCTAACCAACGATAATAAAGATGATTATCCATTGGAACACATGAATCGACCAAGTAGAACCATTTGAAGCCACTCGATTCCATGTCTTCATCAGGTGTCGGAAGCGGAGCCCCGAAATTGGCAGTAAAGAAGAATGGGCGGGTCCCCCATTACATTCCCGCGTCAGACAATGTCATAGTCTTCGAATAAGGCGAAGGAACACGTTAAAGCTGTCGTCGGCCACCATCCTCGTGGGCTTCGTGAAAACTAGATTTCAACGAATCTGTGCCCTACTATTTGTGATGCACGATCGATGCCTGTTCAAGTGCTGCAACCTTTCGTGTACCACCGAGGATTCTATTTGCAGTTAAGAAATAAAAGTTACCATCTTCCCATCGGACAGGAATAGGTCTTCTCTCCTGGCGTCGATCCGAGAGGCTTCCGATGATCGATCAGGTATGTGTTGTCCTTCCACATCCATTCAACCATGCTCGGACAGACGCCGAAGGTATCAGTAATGACGCAAGATCTGGGCATCGTCCAATGTAAATGGTCTCCGATGCATCGACACTTGATTATACCATCTCCGATGCATTTGTCTCAACTCCATGAAATGCATACGACAAAATAGTTCTTCTACCATACCATACGGAAGATAGTAGCGGTAGGACCAGCTCGCTCCTCACGAGCTTGGATTGTTGCGGGGGCACATCATCTTTTGCTTCCCATGGCTCCAAAAGTTGCTGATGCCGCCTTTATTTACAACCTTACAACCGATTTCGTCTTCTTTGTCCTCGCTTATGATCAACTACTGGGGGCATATCAAAGTCTTCATGAGTAGGCCACTCGAAAGGCCCCAGAAAACATGGTCTCGAAGCCCAATAAAAGATGCTGCCGCCGCTTCATTATCTTTATCTTTGCGCAAATACGAAGCTAAAATGATCGTTAGATTAGTCGTCTCGGTTCATATGGATCGACGTGATGCGATATGAGACGACGTGTTTTTCGTTGATTGATCGAGGATCGGTCAGAGTCCAAATAAACGGGTCGACAGGGATGGGATCTACGCATCCGACAAGAGCTTCAACTGTTAAGCCAATTTGGGTAGTCGCGGGATGGATTTATATTCTCGACGAATTTTATTTCCGCATATCCTCGGAGAAGCTGCTTAATATGATATTTATCGTCGGTGAAGGAGTGCTGTCGGGTAATTACGTTGTTTCTGAGCTTAAGTCTTCAGGGAAATAGTGAATCGGGTCGGCAGTCTCCGAGTCCGATCCGTTGGCATCCTGCTTTCGACACGTGGCGTGAGTCCAGTGGGTCCTACCCAGAATGGCGAACACGTTTCACCCGGCGATGAGTGAGTAGACGAGAAAGTGACGAGATCTTTTATTTCCTTTTATTTATTTATTTTTTTGTTAAGAAAATAATCGATACCCAATAACGAAAGAGAATAACCTCCCACCCAAGTAATTATGACGGAGTAAGTAGTAAGTACTACTCCCCTATCGCTGTCGCATCTTCGTCAGTCGTCTGCTCCTCGACACCCTCTCTCTCTCTCTCTCTCTCTCTCTCTCTCTCTCTCTCTCTCTTCTTTGTTTGGTTTCCTTTTTCTTTTTCCTGTATTCATCCTTCTTATTATTAGTGTTATATTTCTTTCGGTATAATTCGGGTTAAATTAGTATTATTTTCCTAAAGAGAGCGCTGCGGTCGAGATTTCGAGGAGGAGGAGGAGGCGGAGAAGGCAGGAAGAGGAGGAGATCGAGATGCGCAGAAGCGGAAGCGGAAGCTTCTAGTTTTCTTGATGGCTTCGTCGTCTCCTGTCAACCGTCCAGCCCACCCCCTCCCCGCCGCTTTGCCTCCCGTCGGCGCGTCGAAAGCACAAGCTGCCTTGGCCAAGATCATAGCCATCATCTCCACCGTTCCTCCTCGCCTTCCCGAGGCAGACGCCCTCCGCCATGGCGGCGATCCCGAGGCGGCGGGTCGGACGACGACGCCCGCGGGGCAGCTTGGTTTCGGCGTCGATCTGAAGCTCAGGTTGGGCCTGGCGACGGAGATTAGAGGAGGATCGGCCGAGGGAGATGGCCCCACGGAGCAGAGTGGCGTCGTGGACGCCCCCGCGTCGGCGGAGCCCTGCCGCAACGTGCGGGCCGTGGAGGAGGTGGCCCCCGTAGGAGTGTCGGGAGCGGCGGCCGAGCGCTCGTTGTCGCCCGCGGTGTCCGTCGCTGGCGGCGGCGACGCTTTGGCTTCTGAGAAGAGCTCGGAGGGCGAATGCGATCCCCAGGAGGAGAACGGAGGAGAGAGCCGCAACGAGGCCGCAGAAGACGACGCTGAGGAAAAGGCTTCTGCAGAACAAAAGGAAACGGACGGAAGCGGCGGAGCGGAAGCGGGGACCACTACCACCACCGCTATCGCCACCAGCAGCAGCAGCAGCAGAGGCCGCAGAAGCGACGGTTGCTTGGACTTGCTCCTGGAGGCCGTCCGGCAGGTCTCGGGCGGCCTCTTCGACGACGACGGGCCGGAAGCAGAGAAGGTCGAGGCTACCGCGGCCTCGGAGGAGGCGCCCGCGCCGTCCGAGATGACGGCGAAGAGGTCCGCGGTCGGCGACGGCGGGGGGAAGAAGCGGAGGGAGACGGACGAGTGGTGGATACCGCTGGATCTCTACGAGGAAGAGACAGCCCCGATCGTGCGGTCGAAGCGGGGGAGGAGCCAGGCGCTGCCGTCGAGGTACCGCGACTCGATCCTCGACCCGTGGAGGAAGCCGCCCGCGCTCTCCCGCAACTCCACCGGGCGTCGCGGTCACGAAAGGGCACCGGCCGCCACCCGGTGAGCTTACCGGAGCGTCACCAACACTGACGGACTCATGCGAGCGTGGGAGGTTAACGACGATCCCGTTGCAGATGTTATCGGGTCTTTGGTTTCCCTTTTCCTCTCTTCTCTTACGTAATAACGATAGTTTGGTATCGGTCAGTAGACTCGTTTGGTATTTAATACCGGAGAAAGGCATACAGTAGCTCGCCAGTGGAGTCAAGAGCAGCCGCTGCTGTTGCTGCTTCAAACCTTTGTTCACGTTAATCGGAAGCAGAACCACTGATCTTTGTGTTGGCCACAGACATTATTATCTAGTCCCGTTGTTGCTGTAACGTGTAATCAATTCAAATGATATATATATTTGTGGGGAGTAACGCAGTGACTACAGCAGCATGTGTGTAAGAGCCGTGCCTAGTGCCTTTTTTGACGACCTTTCTCGCTCATTGACTTTTACGAGGAGAGCAAAGGGAAGGGAACCCGCTTTCTGTGCGGCCGCACGCAAGGACGTGGGCGTACCTGCAGGTCGAGCCTCTCGGACACTGACTGCTACGCTTCCTACGACCACGAGCTCGACATCGCCGCTTGCGACAAAGGTTTCGCTCATGGCAGGTGACTCCTGTCTCCGCTTTACACCTTGGCGAATCAAATTGCTGTGAGCTCATACAAGCGATCAGAGTTCCTTACTGTTTCATCTACACGAGTGTACGAGTCGATCCAGTGGTTGGTGGGTGGCATCGCCTCGTCCGTTTGGCGTTTGTTCGCTCTACTGTTCATCCATTAATAACAAATACTTCCTTTCTCTCCGCGCAAGCTTTCGGATGCTCGTGTTTATATAGGCCACACGTAGTAGCGGTGCCCGCTCAGCGAGTCGAAAGGGAGAGGCAAGCAAAACCGAGTTAGGTGCGGCTTTCGGCGACAGGCACGTAACGTGGATCTGTAACCCATGTAGCTCAGATTGACGTCGACCTTCCGCAACCACGAAAAGACCGCTTCAAAAGATAAGCGCTATCCCCATCGCTCGTCAATAAAGCGATGTGCAAGATGCTCTGACACAGTCTCTTGCTTCTTCTTGAACTTGCGTTGTTCTCCAGGAAATGATGCCTCAGAGTGAAGCTGGGCTTTCGTCTCGTCTCGTGACTGAGGGCGTCCCATATGCCGTCTGACAAGTACATACAGGCTGTGAGGAAATGCTGGTTCGACCTGCAAACTCATTCAAACAAGAAATTGGCCATATCATATCAGGCACGAGCTTAGTGTTTGTGGGGTCTGCATGCGTCCTGCCCTATCATCTTTCTAACCGAAGCATTGCCCGAGGAGTATTCAGACATCAAAGAATCACTCGATTCGAACTATACTTCGACCAACGCGTCAAGATCGAGAAGCTCCAGACGGTAAGAAGACCAATATTTTGATCTTTCCAAACAAGCCTCTGCATTTATTTGAAGAGATGCACGTAAGGACATGTGGAGACTTTTCTTTCGCATGCAGGAGATTTCAACTCTCTGTCAGTACAGAGGTCAATCATCAATCCAAATTACAGGGACAGTGTGATTTGATCTTGATTTCGAACCTTATCATGCATTTGTTGGTCAGTCACGGCTTCTATAAAGCTAACAAAGTAATAATTTCGCAAAAGGCGATGAGAACCCATTAAATTTTGGCATCACAGAACGAGGCGCTTTACCGTATGTCAAAGCTAGTGTGTTGTACCAGCAATTCAGCTATATAAAAAGATTCACAAAGTTAAAGAACATCTGCTGAAAGAATCTGAGCACTATAAAAATGTTGTGCCTGCAAGAAGTCAAAAGTTGTTTACCTAAGTTCCGAATGCCAAGTGGATTCCAGATGCAATATGCATTAACTCAACATGAACTAGAAAACTTTGACAAGCTAATGCACATAATGAACAACCCAGAAAATTTAGAGAATCAGTAGACAACTGCACGGAGATAACCTCGAATGCATCTTTAAAATATATATATAACATCTTGATTAGTCTCACATCGAAAATGAATAAGATTAAAATTGACTTATAAGGGTCTGATGAGTGTATTATTATCAACTTCAGCATAAACATTTTGATCACGTTGAAACAAGTTAGAATCAGAAAGAAACTATCTTTTGTTCAAGTACATTAAATGTGAAGCGGAAAAAGGTCAAGATCCAACGTGGGCTCAAAATTGAAGAGACAATCCAACAAGATCACTTTGACTGTTTTTTTTTACCGATGAGTCGACGTCGTGCCAACGATGATGCTTGCAAAAGCTGTAGAACGCTAATGTCAGACGTGAAACACGGGCGACATTCTTCCCCGGCTTCTTATCAATACCAAACAAATGCTTCGCCAGCAAGTTGCCTCAACTTCATCCGTATAAGATGCGTGGAACCTTAGTGTGAGGGTTCAACGAAGTACTGAGGAACGAGAAAGGGAATCGCCCAAGAGGACGAGGAGAGGCGCGTTATCAGCTGTTCTATTTCTATTCCCATTTCATCCATTTCTATCTTTACCTCATCTCTTCCTATTTGTGTACTCCCTTACCGGAGTTCGATGGAGGAGATCCATAGGGAAGATGGTTTGCATACCCTTGGACGAAGTCTTTCGCATGACAATTAGCATTCAGCGACACCAACGAAGAGGAGATCCTTCATCGTCTCGTCCAACTTGATCTTCCATACTCTTTACCCATCAATTCGCTGTCCTCGAAACCTTCCTGCATGCCCGAGCCATGTAGTAGTACTAAGAGGAAAGAATGACTGCCGCTGCTGCTACTGCAAGCACAACGAATGTGACCGTCAGGTGCCGAAGCAGCAGTAGCAGCAAACGGTAAGCCCACGACCCGCAGCCGTCTCATTCCACAGCCCATGGCAGCACGGCAACCGCAGGCCGAATCCCTTTCTTCTCTCCGCTCTCGTTGCAATCTTGTTGTTGCTACTAGCAAAATGAATTCAGCTGTCCTTTTCTCTCAATTTTCTTTTTTGTTGTGTCATCCCTTTGCTTCCATCCAACTGCATGACAGAAAGCAAGATGATCTTTTTTCCCCAAGGAAGAGCCATCAAGTCTCACATCACAATAACACACAAGTCTTCCGTCGTCATAAACAGAGTGTCATTTGTCATCATAAACAGAAATTGAATATCTTAAGAAGGATGGGATCGGAAGTTCCAGGATAATATTTTTATAACTAGTAAGATGATTTATATCTTCTAATCAGTCTAAAACTTATATTGAGAAACTTTTTGAACTTTTATCTTTTTTTATCTAAATTTACTTTTGTATTTTTTTTCTCTTTCTTTTTCTGTCTTATTATTAATTTAATTGATCTAAATCAATAGTGGGATCAGGTACAAGTATCCCTTGTCCTTTTGCTTTTTGTGCTAACTTAATATATCTTACCATTTATAATTTTCTCGTTGTTCAAAACCTTACTAATATTAGAATTAGATTTCGGAAATTAAATATCTATTTTGTCAAGCACTCTCCTATTTCCTCCAAGCATATGATCTATAATTCTTTGGGCATTAAAGAGGGGATATGACCCATAAAATATCTTCGTGCCTTTCTAACCCGAAATCGTTTGTCGGTCATTATCAAAGTATTTTAGTGGAGAAACTTTGTTCAAGTTTGATATAAAGTCCTTATCTCTCAAATCGGTAAGTTGATCTTTTTTAATTCCATCGTAAATATTATTCTCATTAATCTCTTATTCAATTATAATATTTTCTATTCTATATTGAAGCAGTAGACCAAAAAATTTTTTGGAATTCTTTCTCTTTTTTTTTCTCTCGAAAGCACTTGATCAATTATGATACTAGAGAAAAGGTCTAACGGGATTGGAATACGATATGACAACTTCTTATGCACCTAAAATTGAACTCTTTTTGTGAAAATTTTACTGGAATATCTTTCTACCCCTGTCTTCTTTGTACATATATTGTATAACCAAGTTGATTGTTGATATGTCTATCATCTTTTTTGGGACTCTTCAAGACACTTCTCTTTGAGTGCCTATTGGCTCTATTCTCGTGGTCTCTTCTCCAAGCTAAATCTAGTGTGCACTTCTAGGTTTTTTGGACACTTGGGTTACGGGTTCTTGGCTGTATGAAAGATGGATCTATAGGCTTATGCTTTACTCTTCCCTAATTTCCAAGGCTTCAGCGCTATATAATGAAGCATATATAGATAGATACCCCAATGTCTGAAGGCCCTAAAGATTTAATTCCTACCAAAACTTAGTCAGAGATGGACAATTTTGATCTCATTTTATACTGGAATGGCTCGTTTTCCGCTCCTGACTTACCTTCTACACTTGCTTGGCTCACAATCCTGCTGTGACGGAAGGATTGGCTGTCTTTGAGAGACTCAAGCAAGCTGATTCCATGCAAGGAAGAAACATCCTGATACATATCGACTCCCTTTCGCTTGTCAACCATATCAAAGGCTTGTAGTCTTCTTCTGCCCCATTGTACCTTTGAGCCATTATTCCTGACATCTACATCCTGATGAGCAAGATCCAGTCTTCTCATATTTCGCACTCATGCAAAACTCACAAACCTGCTTTTTCTTACGGTGGATGAGACCTGCAGCTCATCCCATCCTCTTGATTTCAATGAAAGGTTTGTGTTAAAAGAAAATGATGCATGGTGGAATATTATAATATATGATGATGGCTGATAATGGAGTTCTCCATATGGTCATAGGAATGAGAACTCGACGACGATACCTCACGAGTGTCACCAACAACGCAATATTTATTGGGATCGTCGTCGTCATGAGGTATCACTGACTTATTAACAATGTTTCTGCGACAAACCGATTAGGAATTATCCCATCTTTCGAAAGGGTGAAGTGTTTTGTTCAGGAAAACAACATTTAGGCATAAGGAGAACTTTAATATGCAGTATTATTCCCTTTTCGACTGTTCCATACCCCAAAATAATAACCAAAGTATTCGCTGCTGCTCGCTCGTGCGTAAGTTTTGGCTGTGTCGCATCTCCGTCGGTTGCTTCTCATCTCTCTTCCGTGTTTGGTTCCCTTTCCACCCTTTTTTTTCCTTATTCTTTATTATAATTATGAATGTTATAATTGCCTATTTTTCTTCGTAATGATTTCGAGGAGGACAAGGTGGAGCGAAGTGGAGGCAGAGGTCGAGATGTAGAGAAGCTTCGACTTTCGTTGATGGCTCCGTCGCTTCCTGTCAACGGCCGAGCGTACGGGCGACTCCACGCCGCCGCTTTGTCTCGCTTCGGCGCCTCCAAAGCCCAAGTCGGCTTGGCCAAGATCATAGCCGTCATCTCCGCTTCCCCTCCTCCCCATCCTGAGCCCGAAGCCGCCCACCACGGCGATGGCGATCCTGAGGCGGCGGGTGGGAGGAAGACGCCTGAGGAAGATTCGGGCTTCGGCGTCGATTTGAGGCTCAGGCTGGGCCCTCCGCACGAGATCGGAGGAGGGTCGGCCGCGGGAGATGGCCCCCCGGCCGACGGCGTCGTTGTGGATACTTCTTGGCCGGTGGAGTCCGGTGGCGACGTGCACACCGCAGGGAAGACCTCCGAAACTGTCCCGGCGGCTGCAGAGTCTCAGCACTCGTTGTCGCCAGCGGTGTCCGTCGCCTGCGGCGGTGATGCTTTGACTGTAGCAAAGAGCTCGGAGGGCGAATGCGATCCGGAAGGGGAGCACGGCGGAGAGAGCCACGAGGAGATTGCAGAAGGCGACGCCAAGGCGGAGGTCTTCGCAGAGCAAGAAGGAACGAAGGGAACGGAAGGAGCGGAAGCGGGGACCACCACGGTTACGACGACCACCGTCACCACTACCAGCAGCACCAGCAGCAGAGGAAGAGGGCGCGGCAGCGATGGTTGCTTGGACTTGCTACTGGAGGCAGTCAGGCAGGTGTCCGGCGACGCCTTTGAGGATGACATGCCAGGGGCAGAGAAGGTCCAACCTGCGGCAGTGACGGCGTCGACGGCGGAGGCATCGCACTCGCCGCCTAGCAGGACGAGGCGGCCAGCTGGCGGCGCCGGGGCGAAGAAGCGGAGAGATGCAGAGGAGTGGTGGATCCCGCTCGATATCTACGAGGAGGAGACGGCCCCGATCGTGCGGTCGAAGCGGGGAAGGAGCCAGGCGCTGCCGTTGAGGTACCGCGACTCCGTTCTCGATCCGTGGGGGAAGCCGCCCGCCCTCACGCGCAACGGTCGGGCGCCGCGGCCGTGACAGAGTACTGCCCTCCACCCCTTAAGGTTGCCGGAGCCTCGCCAACGCCGAAACTCGTGCTAGAGAGTAAAGATTAACGATCCAATGGTTCGAGTAATCACGTCACTTTTCTCCGTTTACTTTTCGATTCTTGTATCCACAATATGTGATGTTCTTGTATTAATAGCGTTAGAGAGTCGTTGTTCCCTATTTAATGGAGGTAATGGCAATGAGTCTGCCTGCCTGTCTCTCTCTCTCTCTCTCTCTCTCTCTCTCTCTCTCTCTGTACTTCAGTCAAGTGCTGCTGTATCAGTGCTTCTAATGAATCTAAATCTGTTGAACTGCTACGTTGGATATCGACATTACCGGTGTCGTAATCTGTATCTAAGTTTCACATTTGCCCTACACGTGTTACAAATCTTACCTCGGTTTTGACGGCCTTCCTCTAGATTTCCTGAAGACAATTGACTCTTACGAGGGAGGGAAACCACTCTTTTTGTGCTGTTGCAGTCGCAAACGTCGGCGTACGTGGTTTTAGTTACCGTCTAATCTTTCTACTTCCCATAAACCAGCTTTACACTGCCGGCATCCCACAATGTGGTGGGCGGACCGCTGTCGCGTCCACTTTGCGTAGGCTTGTGACCAAAACTCGCATTACGTAGTGTAGCACGTTGGAGAAGAATAAATGGCCGCAACGAGGCAACGTGTGTTGCCATAAATTAGCAGGGAGTCCATAGGACTAAGTTAATGGCGTCGGGCCTCGTCAGATAAAGGGCACCACCCACCCACTCCATGGATTAGTGAGCTCAAGCTTAATTGAACATGCTCAGGATGGATCTGTTTTCTCCAAGTAATAGACACAGCATAAGAACATTGCTGCTGTAACACTAATCGAGGCACAAAGTTGCCATATACCACTTGATATGACACTGATGCTGATAGAGACTTGCTGTACCGAGAGAGGGCTCCAATCGAGCATTTTAACAGCGTCAACTCGAGACATATACGATAAAGATCCATTCCCCTTCTTTTTTTTCTTGTCTTTGTCTCTTTTTTTGAATCCACACTCGTCATGGATAACAGAGGAGCAGTCAAATCACCGAATTAAACCATCGAAGCCTTCCAAACAGGAAAAGCAGAAAAAGATTGCATGCTGTGAAGGATAAGCTTCACTTTTGTGGGTCCTCTTGCAAGCTCTAAGATAGGCATGTGTTGTCGTGTCATCCAGCTTGATGCTGAGTTGAAGGCGTACTTATCAATCGAACACAGTGTTGTGCACGTCGGAGGACATCCATTTCTCCGATGCAACAGAAGTTAGTCACCCAGACACTGTTTTCGTTCTTTCTTGATGCAGCACCAACGACGACAGTAGACACAACAACTTTCTGCTGTCTCTTATATTAAGATGGGAAAGAACCCTAACGCAAAGACATCGAGATCATTTGAAACAGCTCACAGTAAGAATGAAGATGACTGACCACTTGTCATGCATGGCTTCACGAGTGCCACATTCTTCCAAACACACAGTTCGTCGTATAATTGATGCGAATTATGCCACCAACGACAGATGGTTTCTCGAAAGTTGATTTGAGTAATCAACTCGGAGCTTCAAGGAAAGATCTTTGAGCCTATCCAGGAGAAATTAATTCGAATCCTCGATGAAATATAAACCTCACATCCTGCTTTCGAACATCTCACCTTTCAAATCGGCAAAGCTCAGTGAGTGGAGGAGTTATGTCCCACAGCTCTCCTTTCCCTTTTTCTTTTTTTTTTCTTTTTATTTTTGAGGAAGAAAAGTCCCAAATTCTTGGTTACAACAATTTCAAACCAATTCTTGGGCCTTTATGTTAGTTAATTTACAGTGAATATACATTGACAAAGCTGTTTGCACTTTCTTTTTACTTACACTGAGAAGAAGGTGTAACAGAGAACGTTCAATATTTTGCTTCTAAGATAGTAAAAATGAAGCATCATTCTTCCAGTTTACCGAGATTAGCTGGTTGTAGTTACCATCATGCATGGGTCCTCATTCGAGAGTGGAAGGAGACAAGAGGAAAACTCTAAAGCAGAAGCGCAAAAGAATATATGAACTAAGTCTGCACACTAAACGCCTCTCATGCTATCTTTTAGCCTCTTGTTGCACCAGCAATAACATTATATTGCTAAACATGTACCTCCATTTCCACTATCCACTCTAATGAATCCATCAAAACCATTATTACCTCCTGCTGCTGCTGCTAGTGCTGCTATAACTTTGTTTTATATGATAAAAAGAAGGAGAAGGTACATAAATCCATGACAATACGATGCGTTGCTTCATCTTGACTGCCATCAGGGCGACCACCAGCTCGAGCGTATCTCCTCCTGCTTCCCTGTTCTTCCGCTGTGCACATTGTAGAATGGTCCATCCATCGATGTTTCGGCTGATGTGGCGTCCACCGGACGTCGAATAGCAGACATCGACTAAGTTTAATGCCACCACCAAGCGGGATATCGATTGGATGTTCTCATGCGCGCCACACGGGCTTCATAAAATGTCCTCCGTCGACTCATTTTGCTCAGCTATGGAAGTGTCCTCGACATGGCTAAAGTGGTCTCCAATTAGATAGGCTTATCTCCCATCCACATCTTTGCTTCTCTGTGCACACCGCAGGACCTGCCACCGCTCGATGGACCCCACACGGGCGGATAGGTATGCCTCGCATTAGTGGATGATCGAGATGTTTTCGACGACGGTAAGAGTCTCTACTCTTTGTTTAATCTTGAATTGAATATAATTATGGATCAAAAAAACTCGAACAATCGAACATCATATTCGGTTCATGTCGATGCATGATTTAAATAATTTAGTTTGTACAAATCTTTATTTTTTTTATTGATTATGTATATATAAATTTAAAGGAACTTAAATGAGGGTTCCCATAAGGCCCATTATGCGGCCCAATGAAAACTGCGAAGCCCAATTATCTTCGATTACAAAAACCCGTCATTTCGCCCTTTTTTGTCTTCCGTCTCCCCATTGCTTCCCGTCGCCATTTTCCCGAACACCTTCCTCTTCTCCTCCTTGCGCGACCACCATGCCGGACGATCTGGCGGACGACCTCCAGAGCATGAGCTTCGGCTCGTCGGACCGCTCCGGCTCCTCCGCCCTGTCCACCCTCTCCGGCTCCCTCTCCTCCTCCTCCTCCTCCCTGTCCGGCGCCATCCCCAAGCCCCGCCCCACCGGCGACCCCGTCCTCGACGCGACCCACCGTGTGAAGTCCTCGTCGGCTCCTCCCGTCGGCGGGGGCAGCGTCCTGTCGATGTCCGATCTCCGGTTCGTGAAGCGGCTGGGCAGCGGGGACATCGGGAGCGTGTACCTGGCGGAGCTCAAGTCCGCGGGGTCGGAGGGGCTACTGCTGGCGGCCAAGGTGATGGACAAGAAGGAGCTGGAGGGCCGGAGCAAGGAGGGCCGGGCCCGGACGGAGCGGGAGATCCTGGAGGCCGTCGACCACCCTTTCCTCCCTCGCCTCTACGCCTGCGCCGACAGCGACCGCTGGTCCTGCCTCCTCACCGAGTTCTGCCCCGGCGGCGACCTCCACGTCCTCCGCCAGCGCCAGCCCTTCAAGCGCTTCGACGAGGCCGCCGTCAGGTAATGATCGCACTCGCACATTAGCAGCAGCCCAACAACACCCCCCCACCACCCTTTCCAGGATTCAATCAACCTCTCTCTCTCTCTCTAATCTTAATCTAAACATTATAAGAAAGCAATCAAGGCGTTGAAAGTGATGCAAGGCTTTCTTATTCTAATATAAATTATTATTAATACCACTAACAATTAACTATTAAGTTAGTTGATTTGTCTTTCGATTCCAGTCAATTTTATCTTGGGATCCGCAGCTATTCATCGCTGGGATTCGAGATTTAGCTTTTTGAGGAAAAAGAGCGAGTGTAGGATGAATGGGGATAAGGGACCCTTCAACCCGGGGATTCGGGATTTTAAGCTTTCTCGAGGAAATCAAAAGCGTAGATTAAGGAAAGATGTAAACAGGAAATTATTACGTGGCTCCACCATTATTCATTCCCACTTAGCAGCATCCTGTAACATCGTCCGCTTTGGCACTAAGTATCATCACCCCATCCCAACCCCGCCTTTTTCCTCTTCTTCATTGTGCGAGAATGCTACGCCATCCCGACACTGTAGCCGTCGATGGTGACGCTGTCTGTGGGCACGACCAGCCGTTGACGCCCCCCGCTTCCATCAGCTTCGCCGACATAGCCTCCTGCCGCAGCGTACGATCGACCGTGTTGCCATTCCATCCTTCTATTGTCGTCTCCATCCTTCTTTTATCACGCGCTGCACCACCACCTTAAACCGTAGAACTCGGCCTGCACATGCACATGTTCTAAGGTGGGGAGAGTAATACTTCCGTCGCCAGGGCTGGTGGTGGAGTAAATGACGTCGTGTAATGGAAAACACCTTCACGTGGAATCCATCGTGAAGAAAGCAACAGTCTTGTATTTTATGCAGCAAGCGGTAGTTGCATGTAGCAGTCGTTTTCTCCGTTTTAATTGACTTCGATGCATGATTATGGCCAGCAATGTAATAAAGAACTGGTAGTGGTGATCGGTGTACCTTTTGTTTTTGTGGCATTAGGATGGGTAGAATAATGTTGTTGCGTCGGCTTTGCAGGTTCTACGCGTCGGAGGTGGTGGTGGCGCTGGAGTACGTCCACATGATGGGCATCATCTACAGGGACCTCAAGCCCGAGAACGTCCTCGTGCGCGCCGATGGCCACATCATGCTCACCGACTTCGACCTCTCCCTCAAGTGCGACTCCGCCAGCCGCACCGCCGCGCAGATCGTCTCCGACCAGAACCCGCTCCCTCTCCCGCCCCAGTCTTCTGCCGCTGTCGCGGGCGAGTTCTCTGCCGCCGCCTGCATCCTCCCGAGCTGCATCGTCCCCGCGGTCTCCTGCTTCCACCCGTCTCGGCGCAGGCGCAAGAAGAAGCCCGGGCGACGGGGGCCGTGCCTCGAGTTCGTGGCCGAGCCCGTGGACCTCCGGTCCATGTCCTTCGTGGGCACGCACGAGTACCTCGCACCGGAGATCGTCTCGGGGGAGGGACACGGCAGTGCCGTGGACTGGTGGACCCTCGGCGTCTTCGTCTTCGAGCTCCTCTACGGCGCCACGCCGTTCAAGGGCCCCGACAACGAGCTGACGCTGGCCAACATCGTGGCTCGGGCGCTCGAGTTTCCCAAGGACCCGGCGGTATCAGCGTCGGCGAGGAATCTCATCGCAGGGCTGCTGGTGAAGGACCCGGAGCGGCGGCTGGGATCCACCATGGGCGCGGCAGCCATCAAGCGCCACTCTTTCTTCAACGGGGTAAACTGGGCGCTTCTACGGTGCGCGCCGCCACCCTACGTGCCGCCACCATTCAGCGTCAGCGGCCTCAGCCGGGACGCTTCCGACGACAGCTGTCCGGGCACGCCGGTGGAGTACTACTAAAACCCATTCGAAGTGTTTGCGGTCAACGCAGCGCGCAGTGTCAGAGGTCGGCCTGCGCGGGTCACGTGCGTGCCGCATAGTATAAGCAGTCAGAGCCAACGCTGGGGGGGGTCACCGACGCGTGTCAGTTCTCGGGAAGGCGTTAGAGCGGTGGAAGGATTTTGTTTGCTTTTTGGGTGGCGAGTGGTGACCGCGACGTGACCGCCTTGCGCATCGTCTTGGGGGAAAGGTCGAGGGACGTGGTTTGGTTGATCCTCCCTTTAAGCTGACTCTCTCCATATACTTTGATGTCAATTAAGTCTCTCTCTCTCTCTCTCTCTCTCTCTCTCTCTCTCTCTCTTGTTTTAAGAACGGACACTACATGGATTTATGGATTGGATCTCCCTATTTAATTGGATTTAAATTATCGAGGAGAGTGCAATAATATGCCATGTGGCGCTTCTTCGTTTACCAGTCGCACTAACTTGGGTGATCATCATGTTTGCTTTGCGTGGAGTAGCCGCTAATGACGATGACTATTACTTGCATCCATAGACATCAAAGTCTGATTCATTCGTCCATTTATTTAACAGGAATTTCCTAATTTTGTGTATTGATGGAAATAAACAAATGGTCGATCATTTCCGGAATCTGTGCTTTCGTCGTCTCCCCATTTATCGCTGCAACAAATATTATGAGTCAACGAGACATCTTTTCAACTACAGTGTCGTCGTAGATAAGGAGCATTTATGATAATTATCATGTTAACGCATTTGACATAATTCTTAGTGATATTGCCGCAACGAAGTCCAAACCAATATAATTATCAGACGAGAGAATTATTTTTGTCATCAGCCGACTCGCGGGGCCGAAGGAACTAAAGCTCTTAAATCTGCACTTATCGGATACGAATGTCCTCGCACCAACCGGACAACTCGCCACCGGCTTCCCCTCACACCGTATCGCTTGGAAGCAGAAGAAGGTCGCCGAGGGTTCTCGATCGCCATATCAGGTGGCAGGGTAGGGAGATGGGAGGAGTAAAGACGAGCTCCGGTCCTGTTTGTGTTGACGGATACCGATGCTGACGACACGGTCGGCAACAATAATTGTGTCGGCTGGAGGGACATGGAGATGCTTCGCAAGACCTAACTTTGGTATTCATTAGGATCTGCTCGAGGAGACCCAACTTTGAGAGGCAACAGCAGACAGCAGCATGAAACCCCGGTGGGCTTGCCGCAGTCTACTGAGCACGGCCACGATGTCTCCGGGCACAGTGGTAATGGAACTGTATCAGGCGTCATGCTACTGTGCATGCAGGTGAAGAAAGCTTGTACCTCTGTGTGAGTTGACCTGCATGCCACGGCACCCATCCCGCTCTGCTCGTGACCGCAACACACGGAGTTCATGGACTCCTGCCACAAGAAACTTTTACTTCGTCGATTGTGCAGTCGTTCTAATAATTAGATGCTGCGTCCCTCTTGTCGAGAAGCAAGAAAACTTGAAGAAAGAAAACAAAAGGAATTATGAGATGCTCGTATTATCTTTCAAACATCATGTCACTGCGGGTGCTCTATGAAACCCGATATGTCTCCTCCATATGGAGCTACACGTCGATCAACCAGAAATAAATCGATTTAGGTTTTCATTCCAAAACTATCAATTCCGATTCTGATTCTGATTCGATGGTTACAAAAATTAACTCAGATTATTAGATCTCAAACTTGAAATGTTAATTACTATATCATGAAACTCATTTGTGTATTATTCTTTTATTCGAAACTAAACGAAAATAAATAATTCCATTGACGATCATCAATTCTGATTCCAAAATCCAAAATCAGATCACTAGAACCTGATTCCGATTTGATTCTAATTTTTTTGTTGATTTGATTCCAATTCAACCCAACCTGTAGGGACTACCTCGAACAGAAAATATAAACTTCGTATAGTGGTCTTAATAGAATGGCATAAAGCGGTAGGATTGCAACGTAACATGATAGTCTCCCGGAAACGAAGACTAGGGAGCAATCAACATAGATTTGGTAGCATAACCGGAAGTTGATGCACCTCATCATTCATTACCTTGATAGCAGAATGAACGAGATTTTAAAGAACATGTAGAGACTATAAATTTGAGTCAAATTCCTATTAGGTTCGTCAACTTTGCATAAAACAAAAAGGATCACCAAATTGACAGACTACTTCTGACTCACTGACACTGGGGCATGACATTTCTCAGAAAATAAATTGAAGTCTCAAAATTTGTGCAGGTCAACTTCTAATTGCTGCTCCAAAATAGCTTTCTTCAATAATGAGAAACAGTGGGTCAGAATTAGTCGAACAAACTGAAGCCCATGTCCTGCATAACATAAACAATATGATCAGAATAAGCATATTATGATTTGCCAAAGGTGTCAGAAATGAAAAGAAGCTGGCATTAACTAAAGTAAGACTCAGACTGCTGTAGTGGGTTTACTGCACAGCATTTATGTCAGCATATAGTTGCCATGTGATGAAATTACGACACTTTAAGCAGAGAAGACACTAAGAAGTTGCTAAATAACAAAACATAGACAAATAATAAAGGTTTCACGAGTTCACTATAGAGTACAAAGGAACTACCAATTGGAAGAGTGGATATGATTCTGGATTTTAGCAACTCTTGAAGCATTGCTCTAACCATACAACTGATTGTAGAAGAGTAAGTCAGATAAATAGCTGCAAAGCTGCCAATTTCATCTTTAAGTGGACCAACGACTATACAGTAACTTGGCTAATTTGTTTTTCCAGAACTCTATAATTAAAGCAAAGAGGTGACACTATACAGGCACATGGTCCCTGATGACCTAGTGAATGTAGTCTTCATCTACCATTTAGTAACCGGCATGTCAACACAAGTAAACAACAATGACTACTAATGGTAAAATGCATTTAAAATCTCAGACAACTAAAATAGTGAATTGTAAATCCTCAATCGAAAGAACTGCCCAATGATATCATGACAAACATTACCTCATCTGATTCTTCCTTCTCTTCTACTTTTTCCTCCTTCTTTGGCTCAGCAGCTGAAGAGGCTGCAGCAGCACCACCACTACCTCCAGCAGGAGCAGCAACTGCAACAGCAATACCACCACCGCAAGGCACCGAGGCAAACTTCTCTCTCCCAGTAGCAATAAGTTCAGTCAAGTCTTTACCCCCGACTTGAGACAAGAGAAGCTCAATCTTTTCATCAACAACATCAGCACCAACTAAAATCAAAGAACAGATTTATTTACAAGGCAGATACCAATATTTTCAATCCACAACTCTTATCATTAAGTTCACAACTCAGGCTCAAAAAGTGAGCCTAACAAAAAGAAAGATTTGCAGGAATCCAATAAGAAAGAGAACTGTAGGTAGCACACACCATCAATTTGAAAAATGACTGTCTTGATGGACTTATTAATATACTGAACAGAATGATTAACATGAAAAGTACCTAATATTACTATCTGGAATAATCATGGTGAAATTTTGCATTACAAAGCTAAAGCTACAAAATTAGTAGATAAAGACCTGGCCACAGAAAATAATATGCAACCCAACCGTTAATGTATAACAATAAAATGCCCCAAAAGGAGAAGGAAGTAAGCTAAACCTGATTCTAGAATACCCTTTACATCACCAGTTGTCGGACTAATGTTTCCACCAAGAACTGCAAGTAAATAGGCAGCGATGACCTTCATCCTGAGCAAAATAACAGATTCTTGCTATAAGGAGCGCTGCAAAATCCATTTAACTCATTATATCATATCAAGGAACAAGGTTCATCTAATATTTTTCTCCTTAATAACAAACATTATAAAACCAACAATATACAAAGCATAACAAGGGTATGTGTCGATATGTAAGAAAAAGACAATTAACAAAATATAAGAACCTTACCTAGAGAGTACCGAAACACTCAACACAAAAATCCAGAAAATGTTCCAAAATTAAAGAATACTCAAATTGTTTCATGCTGCCATTATTATGTTTCATTCGAACAAACAACCATTCAACTAAAGACTCAGAAGAGTTATTGAACCGACCAGTAGCACAGGTTCAGCAGTCGAATTGCAAATATGTCACAAAGGAGATAAGTTTGTCACAGCACGACTGCAAGAGTTTTTGGAGAATATTCTTTCACCATTCAAGAAATAAAATTCTAGTGTTTCTATTATGCTGATCAAAAGGGAATTTCCTTTCCATTCCATTCCTGGAATCAGGGTCATGCTTTCACGTCCTGGAGTTGTTTGAGAAGACGTGAGGTTTCTTTTTCCGATCTTCGAAAATATGAAAACATGTTCCTTCCAAAATTATAACAAAATTTCTTGATAAATAATCATTGAAGGAATGATTATTAAAGACCATAAAAGCTGCTGCTTTTCCAAAAGATCCTCCCGAACACTCACATATCTTCTGAGCAGATTCTACAACATTGTTTATATGTACGACTATTCAACATGCAAAGCTAAATGCGCTGGAAATTTAAGCCTGGTTATTAATAGAAGGCAATACTAATGACTCTAAGCAGAACTGCTGTTATAGTCAGAGTGTTTCCACGGTAGCACGTTTTAGCACAGGATATAACAATTCACTTCCCACGGAAATGTATATATCGCCTACAAGCAATCTTCCCAATCGTAATAAGCATAACTTTCGACTAAACGTTTATACAGATTGCGTCACAAAAAAAATCACAACAGCAGCAACAATAATAACATAACAGACATCGAAAAGCAAATGTGAGGGAGAGCACGATCAATAAACCACGGAACAAACAAACAAAGGGCATAGAGCCATAGATGGAGATATCATGAGATAGGGGGAGTCATTACTCGGAGGGCTGCGAGATCCGCCGCAAAGACGAGGAACGGTACTCGGGCTAGGGTTTTACTTCGCGAGGATCTTGGAGACAGAGACAGAGCCGGATTTTATATAGAAGACACGAGGGAGTCCCCGAGGTTGATCGAGATGTCATCGTGACCGTCAGTTGCCGATCAAGTGTTTGATTTGTGTGTGGATACACGGTCTGATCAGGACCCGATCAAATGTATTAACGGATCGCAAAGCCCTCTGTGGATGCAGGGACGAGATCGTGGCCGTCTCCGGAACAGAACATTTGAGCCCAAATGGGTCAAAATTATGACTCCTCTAATATCGACCGATTAGGTCTTTTTACGCTGCACTTTTACAGGAAGAATGTGGTTTCCTTTGAGCATATGAACACTTGTCGATTGATTTTTTTTGTTTTTAATCATCCATTGTTTAGATTTAGCCAATACACTAAGAAAAAGAAAATGGTACACTTAAAATACTTACTAGCTTAGGATCAAATCCCTCCAAACTCAATTCAAAACCAAGAAACAGATCCACCTTAAAAATAAAATAAAGAACAGAGCATAACAAGCAGAACGCAAAAAGACATAACAGAGATAGAACATGATGCAAAGGTGGTATTAACCATTCACAGGTTCTACTAATCGGCGCTTGAGCGAACCAAATTCCATTGAAATTGAGCACATCAAGATAACCATTAACCCGTAAGTAGAGTGAGATATGGGTCTAATCAAACTTGCAATGGATATTTTTCATAGATCAGCCTTGATAAGTTCACTTGATGGTTGGCACAAGCATACCGGAAGGGATATGTCACAGTTGATCAGATAATAATCAGTATGTACTCAACATGTATCAAGAACCAAGCTCTGCAACATAACATACTAACAGATCATACGACATAAAGAGTCCAATTTATTTGGTAAAAGGTTTCATGTAAGTAGGATATCATCATCATGCAATAGTCTCCTTGGTTTCAGGTTCGGCATCCCAAAAGGAAGTCTTTTTGCCTGTTTTTGAGACAGTTTGAAGAACTTCTTCAGGTTTCGCATTGCCTTTCATAGTCACTTTTTGCTCTTTCAGATCAACGTTGAAGGACTCGACGCCTGAAAAAGAAACAAGCAACATGATGAAGATGCACATGTATACCATTGAGCTAGTCAAAGTACTGTTGAAATTGCTCATCATAAATGGATTTGAGACATAAATATGTACAAATATTTTGTTAAAACCAAATGAAGATCTTGCCAACAGGAAATTAACTTTTCCAAAACACAACAATCTAAAACATGGCAGAACTAGGCTACTAAGCTTTGGTATGATGGTGTTGGACATCACACACCATAATCAGAGACTTCATTTTTTTTTACTTTAAACAAAAAACATGAGCTCCAAGAAAGTCAAAGATCAAGAAATAGCATCAGAAAAAAAATATAAAAGAAAGCATTAAGTGAACTTCCATTTTGGTTAGAACTCTTTTAACAGCTCCAATGCATCCTTCACATGACATACCAACCTTGAGGACAACAGTCTGTGAAAAGAAAAAATCAACAACATATTTTCAATTTTAGAGAGCATAGATGCCAACTACAAGAACCACTCTGAATAAAAATAATACGGGGCATGTGCCTAAGAAGAAATCAAGAAAAAGTATGGCCAAGTTTTACATAAAATTTGAACCTTGCCATGATAATTTCATAAGAAGTGGGTTCTGATAGCTAAAGGACAGAATTCAAACACTACACATAACAAAGTGCAAGCTTAAAAGTCACAGAGATTTAGGTCCTGCGTTGACGGATTCAATTATAAATTTACAGCACATGAATTTTACCAAACCCAAAGAACAACATTTAAACATAGTTATGAGAATTGAACTAGCGATCAGCATGACCAAGCTTCTGATCACTAGGTCACTGATCGGTTCAGCAGGCTGATCAACCATACCATAGGTTTTAAGAATAATATCAGATACAAAACAAACAAGAAATTAACTTTCTTATTTTCCTCCTCTACTTTTTTTCTTTTTCTCCTTGTGTCAGTTTTTTTTCTTATTCTTTTCATCCTCTTTTTATAATTTTCCTCTACCAATCACCCTCTTCTCTTATTCTGCACCTATTAAGATCGAGCGCTGTAGTGAAGTGGGGTGCTTCTGTGATATCTCTTTTCTTCGCAGCGTTCTTCACCCAAGGTTGGCCAAAACACATCGGCTAGAGACGACCAACCATGCGGGATCAATTTCCCTTTTCTAATCTTTTCACCAACTCTATTCCTATTATAATGCGAGGCCATTCCACTAGTTTATGTTGTTTTTGGATTTTTGCAACTATCATAACTTACCAAATGGCGTCTTCTATAATCATATATTAATTATCGATTATAACACATCCAAATTTAATCCCACAGTCAAATACTTGAAATGGCATCAGCGTAGACTTACACATTTTTGGTCAGTTGTTTGGACTGAACAAGCTGATGGTTTAGTCATTCCATCAGATCCACGTCGTGACACAATCATCATCCATTGCACCTCAACTACATTATATAGTAACGGAAAAAGGAAAGGACAGACATATGGAAGGAAGAGGCTAATTGTTGTCCCAAGGTTCACCAGTTTGCCATGATATATTTGACTTGTATATAGTTCAATGTCCCACTTCCCCCTTTTTGTTAATGTTACATTTTGCCAAAAGTCTTCTTAGATCATATTGAGGACTAAATAACGTGGTACTAATAATTAATTTCTATTATATTACAATAATAAATGGAATCTTCATGTTTTAGACAGGAAATAGTAAGATAATTAATCAAAGGGCAAGAATGATGGTAATAGCATCATCCATGAAATTGGATAAATTGGAAGCGGGGTAAAGAACATAACCTAAAAGAATCCCAATGATCAACCTTATTGTCGAACAAAATATATGACTATCAAGCGTATGAATTTGTCCATGTCTAAAAAGAATCGTCCATGGAAAACCCATAAAGTTCTCCGAAATAAGAATGGTTAAAGAAAATACAAGAAATCAATGATCAAGGGCGATCCCGAACCCAAGTAGAGGAGGAAGAAATCAATAATCTGAAAGCCTCACTTATTCTAAAATTAGACACCAAATACCTCAGCCATGGGCGCAGAAGTCGGGGGAAGATTACAGAGGCGACGCAGGAAGTCGACGACCGTGGCCGGTGGAGGAAAAGAGGAACAGCAATCGGAGGCGCGGGGGAGAACGGGGTGGGTGGTAAAGAAATATCGAAACTTACATGGCGTTTCCGCAAAGGTGACGAACTATACACGAAGCGGTGGCCTCTGATCTTGCCGTCGATTTTTGGGGAAAAGCGTCAAGATTAGTGTACTCAGAGAACGGACGAGCTATGGAGATCAACGTTGGTTCGGGTTCGCATGTACGAATAGACGGTTAGATCAACGTTGCCTTTAAGGTTGCGACGTACCACAGGCTCGCTATAGTCGTAACCATGGCTGTGCCTTGGGCTTTGTTCCATTACGTATAGGCCCATCGAAGGCCAATCCAAAAGATGGGCGAGCTTATCCATCAGTGGCAAACGCAACATCAGTTTGAGGAAAAAGAAGGCTTCAATGGCTCAGCAAACAATGGACAATTAGATTATTCTGATGCACATATGATAGAGCACAATTTGGGAACATACCCTCTAACAACCGGTAACAGCCACATCATCAGTGTTAACCAGGAGCATCAAAGTCAACATGACAAACCACGTCGGCACCACGCCCCTCCAGTACGACACTACCTCACAAAGGTCAGGACAGTGTCGATCGAGTACGATGCCACCTCGCAAAGCTCGAATAGTGCCGACCGAGTACGACGTTGCCCCGCAAAGATTGGGACAACGTTGACCGAGTACAGCGCTACCCCGTCGGATCAGGATGGCACCGATCGAGTGTGACACCACTGTTCGACGCCGAGACACAAAGGTGTCCGCACGAGAAGTGAGTTCGCCGCTTAAAAGGTCGACGACCATAAATGTATCGAGTACGATTGGTCCCCATGCGTAGGGTATAAAAATCAATCATCGGGCTAGCGATAAAAGAGATTTTTCCTTGTTTTCACTCAGCTCTAACTAGATCTTCGGAGGGTAAAAATTTCTCTTTCGATCCCGACCTGTGTACAGGAGCCAAGTGATAGGGAAGGAGGCGACTAATCAAAGGGAAACCCCCGCTTCCGGAAGCGATGTTCAAGCTCGACCTAATCAGATGACGATTTTCGCTGTCCGAGTATCCACGTGGGCAATCTTACACATCCGGGACAAGATCGATATATGCTGACACCTCAGCCACGTTATAAATGTTCACTAATAACATATTTTCTGGGAATTGGACCCAACATTTATTATGTCGGAGTAGTTCTATCCTCACAAATAAGTGATCAGAGCTTAGGAACCAGTCCAGATGCATGTTCTTTACTAGTCTATTCTGCTACAACGAGCGTCACAGTTGTCAGCAGAAGAATTGTTTGGCGTCTTAGATACAAGACAATAAAGAAACGCTTCATGTGCTTCAAGTTTCCTTGACACAGCCAAGTCTCTCTACTTTAGTGTCATTATTTTCCGGCCTTGACCACTAAAAAAAGCACGTGTTTAATGCTCCAAAGTGGACTCGAATAGTTTTCTAGATTGCGGCCTCTTTGTCGGATTTGATGACCACATGGACTTGGAAAAGAAACAACTGCTGACTGTGCCATTGGCTGGTTCATGCAGACTTTTCCCTTTCTAATCCAAGGAAATTACCATACTATGAATGATTCTTCTGGTTGTACGACAAGAATATGCTAACAAAAGGAAGGATAACCAATGCAACCATGCTGACTAAGGAATCGAATGTACAGTTCAGAATAGTTGTCGGAATTATATTTTCTTTTGTCTATGCTTTTTGGTTAGCAAATATAGCAGCTAAAGTCGGACAATATGTGAGCGAGGCGTTGCTCCGAAAGGTGTACTATGGAAGACAAGGAGGTCAAAGTTAGTACATGTAGAAGCTACAGATATCTTTCATGCCTAAATTGCTCATCATGTGTTTGTGACAATGGCATCTCACTTTTCTGTAGCTTCCTCGACGTGTTCTTGACATGATCTCTTCTTCTTCTCGTGGAATCAAACAGTGTTCTAAATGAGATCTCACTGTCCATCGGTTGGTCCTCGTGATGCCGCCATGTCAGTTTCTCCGTTCTCGTGCTTCACATGTTCGGCGAATTGGCCATCGATACAGCGATAGCGCATTCTAACCATAGCTCACATGCTGTTTGTGATAATGCCATCTTGGTTTCCGTGGTAACAGTTGCCACTGTCGCAACGATCTCCAAGAAAGGTGCGCGTAACCCTACACGAAACACCAAACGATGAGAAAGAATAAGTTCAACCTTCAACACAAAGCCAGATATTTACGTCTCAAGATTTGCCTCCTCTATCCGACAAATCCAACATTTTCATCATCCTTATATCACACGTTTCATAAATTGACCATAAGATCAAATAATGATTTTTTTTATATGACCTCACTCTCACTATTTATTTGAATTTTATATTAAAATTCTTATAGTTATGAAAGTAAAATAATTGATCTCATTTTTTCTAATGTCGTGGGCTACACTCACGAAATATATAACACATGATATCATGTACTGAATTATCAATTCCATAAATAGTAAAATGATCATTTGAACTATTAATTTAATGGTACAAAGGGCGAAGAGCTTAGGGTGGCATCTACACATGTCAGTAGTGCGTGAACCAAATAGATCCTTACTTCCTGTGTGTCCACCATCATCGACAGCGTTGCTATTGGCTTCACTGATGATGCTACCTTCGTCAAGGTGATCTAGGCAAGGAGGTGTCATCACTAGTTCTCACAACGATGCACGCTATTGTCATCCTCCGTTACTATAGAGTCGGAGTGGGAAGCCCAAAGGGGGTGACATGATATTACCGAGAGGCAGAGCAAGGCTATGGATAAGCTGTGTAGGGATAGTGAGCGTTGTAGTGGAGATCGCTGTGAAGACGAAGAAGAAGAGCGTCACAGAGTCAAGTCATTGAAGACTACTATGTGTGGGTGGATTTCATAGAGGAGGGACTCCACCTAAAGCCTAGTTCAATCCACAACGAAGTTGAGAAGCTTAGTCACCAGTGACACCAACGGAAGGTCGATCATACTCTCAACGCCAAACGGGAGGTCGAGCATGATCAACAATTCGAGTGGGACAATAAAGATGAATATGGAGACAAGGCGAAGGGAATCGATCCATGGGACGTTAGTGATGATGGAGAGGAAGGTAACATACACACCACTCGTGTCGACAGTTGATGCGGCCCGTTTCTTTGGTTGAATGAATTGGTGAAATGATCATGTTGTTCATCAATTTGATGTCAGTTCAACGTGTAAGATGATGTCACGTGTTATGTCGGATGACAATATTAGAAAAATAAAGATAATTATTTCATCTTCATAATTATAAAGATTTTAATATAAAATATAAAAATTATAATACTATTAAGATGATAAAGTACATACGTAATTAGTCTATGAAGCAATTCTTTTTTAGATAATGATGTTACGTTTTGCTGTGCCTTCCCGACGAGCCGAATTATTAATAGGGAAGCTACGGACCCAATCACAGCATAATTTAGTGCGTTAAAGGCAAAAGCTTTTAGAACGATTCATAGGATTGGCCACCCGAACAGACTTCGAGTCCCATAAGGTCATCCAATCTCTCCCTTTAACTCTCGTTTAGAACATGAGCTTTGTTTTAGTGATTCAAAGCAGCTTTGGTACTCAAACATCAGTTTTCAACATGGTTGACTATTATGTACCGTGAGAGATCAATGTTTCCAAATGCAAAAGGCTTTTCGTTTCCAAGAAACTTTGACTCGGACCCGTTGTGGTTGTCTTCTTGTTCCAATTTCACAAAAGACAAGACGACCACCATCACGATTAATGTGTGCTTTAACACCAGTCATGACGGCCACACTATTTTATATTCAGATAAGCCACGATAATTGTCTTGACATGTGTCATGCACAAGTGAAGTTGTTCTTTGAACTTACTAAGCTGTTAATTTTCATGAATATTATTTTATTTTGGAATTCTTAGTTAAAGAAATGTAACACGAAATCTTCAAAAACACTGCAGCACGATTCATGAAGTGAATTATATAGTGCATATTCTCTCCCCAACACAACCACGAGGAAACAGAAGTCAAAGGGTAGAATTGACTTCTTCAGTTCTTCTTTACTTTATGAGGCAGACACGTAGCTGCTACGTTGAATGAGCAACTGGACATACGTTATCAATGGCATATTATATTATTTGTTTATTAAGGGGTCGGAATTCAAGCATTAGGTGCAGTTGGAACTGTGATCACTTCTTATCCGACATGTGCCGATTCCTTTTCTTTTGAGGCAATTAGCTTAAAGAAAGGGAGACATTTCTACCGATTGTCAGCATATTATGGTAGGTGAGTCAGCATGGTCGGGTTCATGGGTTGATATCGGGAGTCTTCTGTCGTTCGAACTGGATGTCGAGGTCGATCGGACCCTCGCGACAGGGTTTTGATCAGTGTCTCTCAGTCCAGGTACCGGTTGATGGCTCGCCTTAGGGATGTATGTAGGTGACTTCCAAGGTTGGGACGCTCTCGGGTCGTAGGCGACCGCTTTCCTACAAAAATGACTTTGGTCGGATGATCCCCGACTTTGACCCATCCGACGAGCAAATCGATTGTGGGTTTAATTGTTTATGCCCTCGCCCGAGTGGATGCCGGCCAGGAACTTTTATACTATCGTACCAGGGTCGGTTGCATGCGGGTTCGACGTGGCCACTAATCTTTGAGAGCTGAGACGGTACTTCTGATCAACCGTCGTCTCGAGACGTGCGGAGCGACGTCAGACGACACCACCCTGGGTTCCTGGGACAAGACATATTGAACAGCATCTCGGTACAAATTTTGACTTGGCGTGTGGGGGTGTTCCCCTTGCTGACCCTTGGGTTGGTGTGATGGTACGCTAGTCGAATGGTGCCCTTAGCACGAATTCTGACATGACGTGTGATGTCAATTGTAACGTATCTCGAGCCCGAAATGTGCCTTATCACCAATTACCTCATCTACCGTAAACAAGAGAGGAGGTCTGACTGACTAAACTTTGCATTAGTATTCTTCATTTCGGGGCTACTACTAATCTTTCTCGGTGAATCTTTTCTTGTGAGGTGGTTACTGATAAGGATAATTTATGAATCATTGATTAGAATAGGGTTAAAATACTTTACGTCGAGTCAAACTAAGAGATACTGATGTAGATCCTATCCAAGACATTCTTACTCTCTCATATACATGTCCTTAGGGTTTTGAATATTTGTTAATAAAAAAATATTTTTAATAAGAGAATAGTCCTCTCAACTGGTCAATTTTATGAATAATTATATGTATATATATAATTGTATCTTTGAAGAAAAAACATTGCATTAGGTCAAGAACATGTGCCTATACATTTGGACATGAAATTATCATGCACATGAAAGAGAAAAGTGGACCAGATCCTTATTCCTTCTCATCTGTAGCATCAGTACCAATTGTTGTGCTTAGCTAGACTGTAGCCTTTGGAGGATTGATGAGATATCTCATGTGACTTTGTATAGTTATATTATAATTATTTTTGAATATTATGATTAATTTGATAACAAAAAGAATACTGCTTTGCAGTTTTAATAGTTAGATATTATTGTTCAAATAGTAGTATGATATATTTTGTCTTAATCTGTACATATCATTGCAACAGATCAGAACGATGGAGGAAGAAACTAAGCACCTTCTCAGGTGCCAAAAAAACAGGGAACCATATTGACCATGACATTATGGGATCTACGATCGCCGGCTCACCCGAGCGGACACGCCTCCGTTGATGGTAGCCGTGAGCCCGACGTCGAACTTCAGCGGCTGGGCACCCTGAAGCACCTCGACGTCGAACTTGCTGACGACGGAGACGACCACAGCCTTCATCTCCTCCAGCGCCAGCTCCTTGCCGAGGCACACCCTCTGCCCGGCCTGGAACACCGGGTAGTTGAATAGGTTCGCCGGCGTAAACACCCCGCCGCGGAGCCACCGCTCCGGCTTGAACTCCCTGCAGTCGGGCCCCCATATGCTCTCCATCCGCCCCATGGCGTACGGGTGGTACGTCACCCTCGTGTTCTTGCTCACAAAGGTGCCGTCCGGGAGCACGTCGTCCTCGAGGCAGAACTTTGAGTCGAACTGTACCGGCGGGAAGAGGCGCAGGCTCTCGTAGAGCACCGCATGCACGTAGTGCATCTCCTTCAGCTGCTCGTAGTTCACCGTGTCCTCGTTGCCGTCCTTTATCACGCCGGCTATCTCGTCGCGCATCGCCGCCGCGGTGTATGGATTCTGCGACAGGAGCAGGAAGAAGCTGGTGAGGCCGGAGGCGACTGCGTCTCGGCCGGCCAAGAGGAAGCTGATGACTATATCGCGGAGGAACTTGTCGTCGTCGTCCACCAAGCACATGAAACGAGAGAGGAGGTCGTGGCCGGATGTGAAACCCAGCCTCCGGCGTTGCCGTATGATATCCTCTGCCAGCATGTTGATCTTCCGGATCGCCCGCCTCAGCTTCCTCTCGGATCCGACGTTGAACAACCGCTTCAGCTTCCAAAGCATCGACGCCGTCGCCATCCCCCGCCGCGCCAACAGCTTTGAAGCGGCGTCGAAGGCGGCCGCAAACTCCGACATGGGCATCGACCGCTCGAGACAGCTCCTGTCCAGCCCAAAGGAGATCTTGCATATGGTGTCGAATGCGAATCTGCGGAACACATCTTGGAGGTCCACGACGCCGTCTCGTCTGTCGGCCACCGACGACAGCAGCGGAAGAAGTTTTCGGCTGATCTCGCTGGAAACAATCCCCAGCGCGTACGAACGCACGGAGATGCTGCCGAGCGCAAGGCTCGCCATCTTGCGCTGGAACCGCCACGAGTCGCCATCGACGTTGAAGATGCCATCGCCGAGGAGGTCACCGAGGAGGGCCGAGAAACCCTTTCCCTTGGGAAAGTTGTCGAACCGGGTCTTGAGCATGTACTCGACGTTGGTCGGATTGGCGGTGATGGTGCTCCCCAGGACGTGGACGTGGATGGTGCCCGTGGGTGACTCCCGGAGGAGGTGCGCGTGCCAGTCGCAGAGGTTGTCGAACTCGGCGGCCCACGACGAGCTCAGGTAGGCCCTGCACACATGGCAGGTGCACCACCGCCGCTTCCGCAGCAACAACAACAGCATCGAGAACAGAGCGAAGCCCACGGCAAAGGAGAAGAAGACGAGAGCGAGGTGGTCCGCCGTCACCATCGCTGCTGCCTCCCTTCTTCAGCCGGTAATGACGGAAGGTTAGATAGGAGGAAGGATGACGCAGCAAGTGGAGGCAAGGGTAACACTTTATATCGGCGATATCTGCTCTGTGGTCGAACATTAGTGCACGAGCATCACGTTCCCTAATAGACCATTGGTTGGGAGACGGACCTTGCCGTCGTCGCCTTCCATCACGTGCTCTAACCCTTTTCTTTGTCCTGCTGTCGAGCGTCGTGGCTTCTCCACAGCGATTGCATGTTTGCGGATAGACAGCCATCTGACCACTTTCTGTATCACATAAATGCGTATACCTTCCCTCAAATCGCATACGGCAAGTAAGGAATGGTATTAAACGGATGATAGTTGGATCGCGTCCGTCCATTAATGTGCATACGGCAGGACTTCGCTGTACTCGAGCGTCGCGTATATTAGCATTAAATTCTTATTGTTCGCGCGCATCTACAGTGACACATATAAACGTAAGCACCTACGTGATATATTGCTTAAGGTTTTTTATTTGTGTTTTCTTCTTCGTATCGCTGTACACATACATCTCCATCAGGATAAGGTGGGCTATTCGCCAACCACACAAGTACACATCTAGCTCTTCCCAACAGTGACGTGTGTGGAGGGTACTGCTTCATCTGTCTCGTCATATCAACAAAGAGCTGCAACCGGTCCGAAGTGACAACTACATTAAAGATGGTTTGATATCTAAAAACCTTGAAGGTTTCCTCCGATGACGACGTGTCGAGTTCCCGTGCTGACATCAAATCGGCCACCGTATATCGCGTGTGGTTCCTGTGCACCATCAAACGGGAGACGGGCTAACCTAACCAGATCCGAATCCGCTTCTCGTCACCGGTGGGTCCCTGGATGTCGACCGCACACCGTGTGGTTGTGCTCCAACAGGCATAAACATGTGTACGCACGTGTCGCTTGTGGGTCGGCTTTATCGGTAACGATACGAAACGGGGTTAAATGTCACGGAAAAGGGTGATCGGACAGTCTTTCTGTCATCGCTCGTCTGTCCTTGTTGGATTAAAGTCATGCATACGATAAATTAAAGGATGGACACTGTAATTTCTCGCACGTGGTTGCGATATCTAAAAGAATCAAATATATATATATGTCGGACCACAGCTTTTTAAAACTACGTTCAATTATTATATATTATACTCTGATTAGGTGATGTGAAACTAAAGTATTAGAATTCAATTAGTGCAAGACAGTTCGTGAGATAAGAACAATGATAGGCACAGCAATGATTCCTATTAAAAGAATAGCAAATGGACCACGATTGGATGACACTGATGGCGGAAGACTCGAAGGCGTGGGGAGGATTGTCGAGCCTCCGAAAGGTGGCCACAGCGAAGGCGTGGGGAGACACAATTGCAGCACGCGTGAGATACCAGCCGAACTTGACGATGCCATCCACCTCGGCACGTACGACATGCGCGGGATGATGGTGCGGGGTTTGGCCGACCCTCCAAAGCGCTTTCGAATCAAGTGGGCGAAGGGTGGGCGTTCCGATTAGGCGTCGACCGACACGAGCAGCGGCCGCAGGCACGAGTGGACGGGTGGTGGCGCCGTGACGGCAATTCGGCACACGCCGTCGGCCATTGCCTTTTTGGCCGACATTTACTCGGATGTGGTTGTCACGTCGACGTGATGGCCCGAACGCCGCCCACTGCCAGTACGCCGTCCTATTCTACTTCCAAGCTGTAAACATATTGCTTAGAATAATATACGCACACGTCATGGGAGGTACGTTAATGCTTCAACTAATATTGGATTTTTAAGCGATCACAGCACACATGTCAAAATTAGATATATTATAAAGATGGTTTAATTTTTTGGTTAAGGAGATGTTCCTTACGATGCATGATTTTTTAGAATCTTTCTTAATGATGTGTCATGATTCCTCTGGTACGATCGATCATAATCACCTCACCTCCATGAAAAATTATGAGGGAGTTCAAAAGAGAGGAAAGCACGAACAACACCTACAAACCTCGCTCTCGTATTCCTTGTTATAAATTGTTTAAATTAAAAAGAAAAAAAATTAAAATATTTATTTGAAAAGATATTTTTTTATAGTTATTTTGATAATTATTTTTCTATCTTTTGAGAAAATATCTATAAATAGATATTTGAGGGTAAATTATTAATATCTCTTTTTCATACTCTTTTTCTTTACTCTCCAAGTGATTGAATTAGATATTATCTAATTTCTCCTTAAAGATACTTTATTGTTTGCTCAATACAGATCTTCTAAAGACTTGTCGTATTTACTAAAACTATTTGCATCAAATCCATAGTAATCTTATTGATAAGAGGGTGCAAATAACGTTTTTAGAAAAGTATTTATACACGTTTCAAGTCTAAATATCTTTCCTAATGTTTATTATTTGTTTCCATAGTGTTTTTATCTTCTTCTTTGTTTTTATTTTTTCCAACATTCCTTCTCTCAAGGCGAGCCCCTCCTATGATTAAGTGGCTATCTTTTATGTTAGAGATTAAACTCTACTATCAATCTCTCTCGCTTCCTTTTATTTTATTTCAAGTTCATGCTAGACTTCGAACTCTCCTATCAACACCTATCTTATACTCCTTATAGAAAGTCTCCGGCATATTGAAAGGGTTGTGATTGGATTCATGGAACCATGCAACATTAAAATGAGATATGTTGATTCTAATGGTTGCCGCATGGAGAGATGATATATATCTAATGGAATTCAACCATATAAACTCCTTTACATACTAATTTTTATACGTTAATTTAATGGGCAACTAATAATTATGCAGAACCTCTTATAGTTCTCTCCGCTTTAATCATCTAACTATTATTTTGTATAAAATATTTATTAATATCTTCGTCTTGTTTGAATGATAGATTCAACATATTATAATTTTTTTAGTTTTATTCATTTTATTTAGTTATGGAATTATTACAACTTTCGTTTTTTATATATTAAATTTAAAATAAATTTCGTTTATACTCTTGTCAAACAAATTACCATCATCAGTAATTAACATACAACATGATTATATTTCTCATATTGATTATTAAGTTAATCTATTACAAAAACATGGGAACTCATAGACAAACCAAATTATTGTTGAATCTCCTAATTTTTTTTAGTGCATATATATATATATATATAT